GGACAGGCCTAGTACCAATGGCGTTAAGCCTCCCATGTTGGATGATGACGACACTGCCAATGATGATGACCTTACGCCCCCTCCGGAAAACATGAGCCCGGTGTCGGGAAGCAACGAACGCGCTCTGGAAGACGAGATTGTTGTCGGCAACCGTAACGGTGCCCCCAAGTCGTCGCCACTTCGCGTCGTGTCAGAACCTGAGGACGAAAACATGGCTGACGTCGAGGATGAGCCTGTTGTGTCGCATTACCCCAAGCGCAAGCGTGCGTCTGTCTTCAATGATCTGGCCGAAGATAAGATGGAGAGCAGCCTCATCTCCGAGAAGGAAGGCACTCCCAGAGCAACGAAGCCCCGGAGACATGGACTCGGTGGCGTGAAGGGCGTTATCCTCGGTTACTGGCGAGATTCCCCCGTCCCTGACCCTAAGGGAAAGCATGCGGTCATTGGCTTCATCGATGTCCGCGATCGTCTCCGCACTCGCATTCAGCAAAACACCAGATTCGGCTCCCCCGTCTCCAATCTCGAATACCCCCTCCCCCCCGGTCCCGGCGGTAGCTGGGTTACCTTTGAACGCGTGGTGTTCGCCGACCACCTTGTAGGTTTGGATCATCATCAAGTCAAGGAGTACGTCAAGCTTCGGACAGACGCGTTCGACGAGACCGAGGAGGCACGAGATGAAGCGGAGAAGGCGGCCGCCAAGGAGGCCGTTCGCCGAGTCGAGGAGAATCCACCTCCGGAGGGCCAGCTTGCACCTGCTATCGCTTACGGGGCCGATATTCCTGATCACGCAGTCAGCTCGTCCCGTCCGGATTCGAAACGCCGTCGCACTGGCAGCGGTATCGGCACGATTAGCGGAGGACCCGTCCATCCCCAACCGACGCGTGAGATTATTCCGACACCTCAGTTCGACCCTCTGATGGGAACCAGACCCACCAGAATCATAGTTGGCTTCTGGAAGGGGTCCAGTGAGGCAGACCCGATTAACCGTCACGCGGTCTACGGTATCCTCGGCCAGAACGACATGTTCCGTGTCAAGGTCGCCCGCGAGACCCGCGACAAGCGATTCGTTGATGGAAACTTCCCCGTTGGCGCAGGCGCTTTGTGGATTCACTGGGAAGAGGTCGAGCTGGAGCCCCATCTAAAGAACCTGTCCCGCGCCGAGGTCAAGGAGTACTGCCGTGTTCGCCAATGGCAAATCGATCAGGGTGAGGCACCAGACGATCGTGCCAGGAACGAAACGCAGGCGGTCTTGGAGGCTCAGGCTCGCGTCGCTCAAGGATACAAGCCCGGTATGCAGCAGGTCATTCCCGCCCAGATCGTTCCCCAGCCCGAGGAGGATGTCGAGTCACTAGACACGAAGCCCGAAGTGCCCCAGGAACTGCGCCAGAGCCGTAGGACTGGACCAGGAGGCATTCGCCATTCCCTCCCCGACCTCGAGATTCGACAATCGTCCCGCACACCGGTCGCTCAACAACAGAATAAGATCGATGCCAGCGCTCGCCGCGAGATTGCCCGGATCGAGGCTGCCCAGATGCGCACCGAGCGCTTCAATGCCGACCGCGATGCCGCCATGGCCGCTGCCGTAGCTCAACAGGCTGCGGTGCCCCAGCCCGTCCTCGCGCCCCCGCAGATCCCGCCCCAGGCTATGCCTAAGATGCCTGTGCCCAACGGCAATGGCCAGCGCATGAGCAGTCTTTTCCACGAACGTGACGAGATGCAGCGTCTCAACAAGGTCTGGGCCAGCCAGGAGGAGCATCGCAGCAGAGTTCAAGGCGAAGAGACCAAGTTCTACGCCGGAATCAAGTATGAACGCAAGCAGAACGGACCGTTTGTCGGCAAGCTCGTGTCGCAGGGCACCATCATCAGCATCGACGGCGAAGACTACGTCGAGTACCGCGTGCTCACGAAGCCCAGCTTCTTCTGAGGAGTTGGTACTGTACTATACAACCTTTTTTTCCTTCCCATTTCAGCGGCACTCGATGGGCCTGTTGACGGACCTCATCTCGGACTATCGGAACATGGCACTGGGGATTTTCTATGTGTGTTTTGATTTCCCTCGCAACACAAGAAGCGAGGCTCGGGCGACCGCGGTTCTTTCCTACTATACCCCTCTCAACTTTTCCTTACACTAATAGCACCGACGTCCTTGCGTGTGCGTATCAGTCGCCAGGTATCATTCTCGGCGCGACAAAAGTATTCTTTCTTTTCCTATCGTTGTCATTCGCGCGAAATACTAGCGACGATCGCCTGGAGGAGAAGAGGGGCGATTATACCAGCGGATGTGGTTGTTTTTCTTTTTTCCTCTTTCAGTTGTCGCAATCTTCTCTCTGCACTGGTGAGCGCAGTTTCTTGTTGTCCGGAGGCGAGCCCCTCGGCACCAATAATGGATTCACATCACGTTGCTTTTACTTCAGAATGGATACCTCTAGGGAAAGGGGGCAAGGGAACCTATGGGAGACCAAAAGTGTCGCGACTTTTCCAAGTCTGGATGGACACATGAAGGACACGGGGAAGGAGGGGAGATAGCGGAACCCGGTCAGCGTTCGCTAATTTGCACTTGCAATAAATATGGAATTCGCATGGAATTGTTGTGTTGTGCTGTTGTCTGTGAATGTGAATGTGAGGTGATGTCAAGATGGTGAGCAAGTTTCTAGCCCTCCCACTTCTCAGTAGGGGAAACCACGGTAAAGAAAGAGGTGATGTCAAGATAAACCTCGTTGCGTAGCGATTGACTGAGTCGTGGAACTGTGCGGCGTCTATGCTCATAACCAACGTGACTCGCGGCAACTCGGGCAATTTCTAGCATCTCACAACACAATGGGTAGCGAAGTGGCCATCTGTTGAATGATCATAACAACCTCAAATCAATTCTTTACGTAGTAAGTAAAACCCTGCCCGCCTGTCTATGCGTAGGTATCATCATCATGTACGTGACTTTTTAATCCCATGCTCGCCGCCGTCGTCACCGCCCTGGAATCCAAACGCGTCCTGAAGCTCCCTCTTGGCTCCTAAATGAAGAAAAAGTCATAAAGTCAGAATTCAAAGATTCAGCGTTTTTTTGCGTCACCTGCCCATGTTGGCATCGAGGATCTTGTCAAACTCAGCACCTTTTTTCTCCTCTTCCGTCTTCTCCGCGGAAGCAGCGGCGGCATCGGCGGCAGCGTCCTCCTCGTAGCCCTCGACCTTCATGTCCTTCAGGCCGAGCTCCTCCTCCTCCTCGTCTGTGCGATCGTAGTACTCGCGCTTGATCTGCGGGTCCGGGGCGGGGGGGTCGACAAGCGGCTGGACGAAGCTGCTGGCGAGGGGGTCGGTGAGGACGATGGTGAAGGGGCGCTCGCCGTTGATGGCAGCATCGAGGCCGCCGAAGAACTCCTCCCACTTGGCCTTCTCCTCGGGAATGAGGGAGTCGCCTCCGCTGGAGGCAGAGTTGCCGTTGGCCTCGAAGATTTGGCTGCGCAGGTCGTCGCGGACCTGGGTGAGGAGACCCTCGATGGTGGTGAAGCGGCCGCCAAGGGTGCCGGGGTTGACGGCGAGGTTGAGTTCCGGGCACTCGAGGGCGCAGGTCTCGGACTTGAGAATGTCGCGGGCGAGGTCGACGGCGCCATTGGAGATGGAGATGACGATCTTCTCGCCCTTTTCGGGGATCTCGCCGCCCGTCTTGACGTCGTTGGAGCGGTAGCCGCAGTCGTCGCAGACGGTGGACATGAGGACGACCTGCTTGAAGTGGGGGATGTCGACCATCTTCATGTGCGTGGTACACGGGTGCATGCAGCCCGGGCAGGTGGCGGGGAAGCTGTAAACCTCGTTGGGGATGATGTCGCCCTCGGCGGTAAGGCCAGGGTTGGCAGCGGCGGCGGCGGCCTCAGCCTGGGCGGCGGAGATGCCGAGAGCCTCGTTCTGCTCGGGGGTGCGGAGGTACTCATGCTTCTCCCACTTGCCGACGCCGTCCTTGAGGTCGGGGGTGATGAAAGAGTTACCAGCGGGGTCGTCGACGGTGACGCGGAAGGGGAAGGAGGAGCCTTCCAGCATGGCGCGGCCCTTTGCGATGATCTCAGCGATCTTGGGGTAGACTTCGGGCATCTGCTCCTTGCGGGCCTCCTGGCCGAACTCAAGGTCGTTGATGATGGTGGAGAGGAGACCCTCGACATTTGTAAGCTGGCCCTTGCCGGCGGGGACCTCGAGGTCGAGCTCGATGAACTTGACGGTGGCGGTGTCGGACTTGACGACCTGGCGGGCAAAGTCCTCCATGGCGGTTAGACGGAGCTCGTAGTATGTGCCCTTGGGCTGAATGGAGCCGGCGGGCTGGACCTCGCTGTTGGCGAAGCCGCACTCTTCACAGGAGAAGGACATGAGGATGATTTCGCGGAAGTAGGGGATCGAGGTAAGGAGGAGTCTTGTGTTGCCCTGGGAAAGAATCAGTTTACTGTTACACTGTTCGAAGGTCTGGGGAGCGAGAGTGGACGTACATTCTTTCCGCAGTTCATGCAGAGAGACTCAATCTCCTCGACGACCTTCTGGTCATCGTCGCCAGCGACCTTGTCGCCAATGGCCTGGAAGAAATCCGACGGCGTCGTCTTGGACTCGGGGGCAGCCATGGTGACTGATTTTTGTGATAGAAAATAAGCGCAAATCCTCTATCTGTGTGTTTCGTGTTGATGTCTTGCACTGCGCGGGGTGCCTTCTTCCTTTTTTATCGCTGGGAGGGCAACTTTTTGATGTCGGGCGCAAAGTGACTCGGTGGGATGGACGATGGCGGGGTCTTGAAATTTTTGGAGGGGCAATGCCGCTGCAACCCTGCACGCTGTGTGTCATTGTGCGGGTCCTTTTGCCTTGAGCGAGCTTCGAGAATATTCCCGAGGATAGCCCGCCACCGCTGGCTGCAGGCTGGTTTGTCATATGGGCGCGTGCCGCGACGCAACCCGAGGGGTGCTCGAAGGACCTGGTCTGAAAAGTCGTATGCTGTAGATTGATTGCCTTTCACGCGACTGCTGAAGGTTTCTTCATCGCGCAAAGTCGGCAAGACTCAGACTCCTGCCGCTGGAGGATGAATTCTTGGCTTGGCTGAGCAGAGCTTGCAGCCCGGCCTTTCGGTTCTTTGCGCGCTTCTTGCTGCTCGAGTTGGCCGATGCAGGCTTTGCCGCCTCGGCTGCCGCAACATGCTGACCCTTGGGAGGGAGTTTCTCAGACTTTACTCGGCGTCTCACAACCGGTGGCGCGGGAGGCAATGAGATCTTGGTGGTGGTGTTGCAGTTCCCGCAGGCGAAAAGCTTGCGCATCCCTGACCGCGTAGGCTCATCCCTAACCTTGGAGTCTGTCGCCTTGACCGCGCGCCGCTTCTTCCTCAGAGTCCTCTCGGTTTCCATCTTGAGAGTGGTTCCTTGCCCGGGGATCATGATGTGACCACATGCTCCGCAGACGTGTTGTCTGCGGACGTCGTTTTGCTCGACGTCGTTGAGGAACATGAGCTCGTTGTGGTGGCTCATGAGATGGGCCGATGTTTCGGGGGCCGACGCCCAGAGAAGATGGGCGGCATCGTTCAAGAAGTTCAGGTGAGCGGGTAACGTGTCCATTGTCGCTTCTGTCGGTCTATTTCGGTGTGGGAAGAAGGCAAAAGATGGTGAAGTTGCAGAATGCCATGAGCGTCCCGTCGACATCGCTTTGATAGCGCCCCACTCGAGGTTAGCGGACCTCAGGGTGCCAAACAGGGGTCCAGGTCGTTGAACCCCCCTGTAATTGTCGTCTGAAAATACGCTCGCCCACATCCATGGAAGTTGGTGAGACTGTCGACAACATATCTGATCTTCTTATGTCTACACAACTTTGCTGTTGTCAGATTCAGATAACCTTGGAAGTAACCCCGCAATTATTACAAAGCCAATAGAGAGGGATGGCGTCTACCAAACCACCACAAGCGGATAAACCGCGAGGCAAGAAGCCAAAGCCAGAAAACCCAATCATCGCAGCAGCAAGAACATGGCTCAATTCCCTGCCAACCCAAGCACGACAATGGAGCAGCCAAGATGACCTCCAAACTCTTCTAAATGAGCAAACTCCAAAGCGTTACACCCCTTACAACCCAATGGTCCTTCTTCCGAGCGGCAGCTTCAGCAAGGGGCAGTGGCCCTCAATATTGAGCCACCCAGACATCAGTGATGAGAAACTTCATGAGCTCTGGGAAGCAGTCCTCCACGGGGTTTCTATCACAGGGGTTGGCAAAGTAACCCACCTTGCTGTGAACGAAGGCATCCCTCCGCAAAAAGACTTACAATCGGAAGGCGCGTCTGGAGATGACGGCGAAAACATACTCAGATCTCCAAGCGGACTGAAGATCCTCCACGGAGGCTTTGGTCCCTCTGTCCAGACACCGAATCCTTCGCCAGACGACTTTGACGCAGCCTTCTGGGTGTCTACCAAACAGAACGGCATATACCAGACATGGGCCCCTCGGTATACAATGTTCAGCCGCGGCAACATCAAAGAGAAAGCCCGCCTGCTCAATTTCCATAGGAACGTCAACGAACAGCCCCAACGCACATTGTCAAAGCCCGCTCGCAACTTCTGGGGTGTTGATCTATACGCAGGCATCGGGTACTTCACTTTCTCGTACGCGAAGCTCGGCATGAAGGTCCTCTGCTGGGAGCTCAACCCATGGAGCGTCGAAGCTCTGCGCCGCGGAGCGATAGCCAACGGCTGGACTGTTAAAGTGATACAAGTCGCCGAACTTCAATTGCCTGCCCAACAGCTCCTGACAGGGGACGAACAGATTGTCGTCTTTCTCCAGGACAATCAGCAAGCCGCCCGCAGGATTCAGGAGATGCGCTCGTCGGAGACATGGGTCTCTACACTCGACAACATCCTCCACATCAACGGCGGCTTACTCCCCACCAGCGAGCCTATCTGGCAAGCCGCCTGGGACATGCTGCCAAAAGAGGAATGTCGCTGCTGGGCCCATCTCCACGAGAACGTCGGCGTAAACGACATTGAAACCCGCCGCGCCGAGATCCAGCGCCTCTACGACAGCTTCGCGGCGGCGGACCCAGAAGACAGACGAACGGCGGCAGTTGAGCATGTGGAATTAGTCAAGACGTACGCGCCCGACGTATGGCACTGCGTCTTTGATGTGTACATTACAAGCCCGGACTCCCGGCCTGATAGGTAGTGTTGTTACATGGACATCGTCAAAAGTACTTCTTTTACTCTTCGTTCAATTCGTCACCTTCGTCCTCCTCGCCCCCGTCATGCGTCAGCCCGCTCTCTCCCCGCCGTCTCAGAGACGACGCTATGACCGCCTGAACTTTTGCGGGATGTTGGCCTCAACGACGGCCATGTGGTCCAGCTGCTCTAACCTCTCCTGCTCGTCCTCCATCTGCTCGTGCTTCTTGAAGTGCTCAATGTCTTCGGGGTGGGTCAGGTCCTCGAGCTTGGTGTTTTCGTCGTGGTATCTGCGTCACGTCCCCTGTCAGCTCTCTTCTTCGCTTCGCCCGTAACCCGGCAACCGGAGGCGGGCTTCTTGTTGTGGCGGTGTGTGGTAAAAACTCACTTCTCCCAGTGATGGATCTCGTACTCGTACTCGTCGTCGCCGTGGTGTCCCGGTCCCATCCCGACGTCCGGCAACGTCTTGCCCGCGCTGGTAAAGTCGTTCCACTCCTGGCGATCGACGTGGCCGTCCTGGTTGTGATCGAGCAGCAGCATCAGCTCGTGCAGGATCTCGAAGCGCTTCTCTTCGGATACGTGGTGGTTCGAGTCGTCGAAGAGGCCGTAGGTGCGGAGGATCTCGTCGCCTTGCCACACGCCGTCGCTGTTGTAGTCGTGCAGGGTAAAGAAGGAGGCCGAGTCCCAGCCCTCCATGTGATGTTCCTCTATTCAAGCAAAGGGAATCTTGTTAGCGAAAGTTCCGCCAATTGAAAAGTGATTGCGCCGTTGATAACCTACCAGCCATGTGTTTTGTCATCCAGTCGGCGTGCTCGTCTACCATCGGCTTCTGGCTGTGGTCGCCATGCGCCAGAGCTCGACTGGCGAACGCCAAGATCGCGAGGTTGATTGTGCGCATCGTTTCGGTTGGTTTGTTTGTGTTGGTGATATCTACAGAGTCGAGAACTCTCCAAAGTTTCGGGGGCGAGGAAGCTCGAGGAGGTCGGGCGTTTGCGCAGAGAGAACAAATATACACAACTGAGCGGCGGGTGGGGGGAGTTCGAAATCCCGAGGTCGGAAAGGCTAAACCGCAGAAACTCAAAGATCTTAGATCTAACAGGAATACTTCAATGGCCGGGGTAAAGGTCCTGCTGGAGGCGCGCGACGACGGACACAGGAATGTTGGCTTTTTTTCTTGGGGGGTGTGCAATGGGGAAAATGGAAGAATCGGAGGAACAGGTGGCGTCTGCCAATGGCTTTTCCCCTTCCCCAAAGGCTCCCCAAGCTGCGCGTTCCAACTCAGGGGGTGGGTGGGTGAGGTGAGGCGTCCCGTCTCTTCGGGGGCCGGGACAGATGCAAGGATCGGCGATTGACAGGGGGCCCCACGACGTTTGGGAGGTTCTGGACTCTTGGGCAGCGCCTTTCGGGTGGGAGGCGGGAAGAGCCAGCAGCAGCTGTGCTAAATTCTGCGGCGGCCGCGTGCCAATTAAGCTTCCCGGTGACGCAACATTCCCGTTTCTCTACTTTACGGATACACTAGCAAACATCAGACTTCCTTGTCAACTTTTTTTTAATGGCCTCCAAAGCTTCCTTTGTTGCATAGCACATTCGAAACGATACTCAACGTCGCCGGCTACACGCGTTAAAGATCCCGAAACAGCCATCGATCTCGTCCAGAAAGCCGGGACGAAAGCTTTGTTCTGAGAACCGAAGGATTCAGGGTCCGATCTCACGGCGCGTCACGACGCGTCTGGCGCAACCTCGTCAACCACCCACCCACAAACCCGGGTCACACCCGACCTGAAGCCATCGCCATGAACAGATCAATAGAGCAGACTCTGCTCTCGTTGATGCCGCAACATGGCCCAGCTCTGCCTCCGTCCCTGGTCGAGCTGGCCGGCTCCCTGCTCGCCCAATCGCGGCATCGTGCAAGCACGCTAAAGGCAGACGAAGAAATTGGCCGCTTATACGCCTGCGCCAACATTGCTTGCGACAGGTATGCCTCCTCTCCTCAACTGCACCGCTCAATTGCAGGGTTAACTAACATCGCCTTCCAGACTCAAAATCACACTAAACCTCCCACCAATCGAGCCCCGGCCCCCGATCCCTCCAAGAATCTACAAACGCCTCTACGCCCACCTCGACAACATCCTCCCCAACTCCGCCCTCAACCGCACCCCCGGCAAGAACGGCACCCCGCGCACCAGACAACGCCACGGCGTCGACTCGCCCGTCCGCACGCCGCACCGACCGACCCCCAACAAAGACCGCTCCCTCTCCAACTTCCGCTCCCCGGCCGCCGGCGCCGGCGCGAACCCGAACGCCACGCCGTCAAAATCCACCGGCAAGGCCGCCTTCCCGTCCGACAAGTCCGGGCTGCACTTCTGGATCCAGCCGACGATCCGGTACATGTGCAGAGAGGCGAAGCAGGCGCACCTGGCACCGACGATACTCGCGGGCATGGAGTACATCGTCGTCCCCGGCGGGTTGCGCACGCGCGACGGCTGGGTGAGGGAGAACCTCGCCGCCCTATGCGGGGCGGTCTTCTTCTTCGTTACGCAGCAAGTGAAGAAGCTGGCGGGCGGCGAGGACATTGACCGTGAGTCGTACGTGCCGACGAGGAAACTCATCATGGGCCTTTTGGAGAAGGCAAGGGAGGAGGTTGACGCCAGGGGCCTGAACGACGACGAGGCGTGGGAGGGATGGGCACCGGTCAAGCCTAAGGAGTTTGACGCTGCCCTGAAAGAGGTCGGGGACCGGGGCTGGTTGGAGGCGGATTGGTACCGCAGTCTGGGCGATGTGATTGAGGCGGGGAATGCGATTGCGGAGAGCCGAGGGGGCGAGAAGAGCGATTCGTACAAGACGGCACCGGTCCGAAGGGCGGATACGATGTTCCAGGACCGGTACGACTTTTTGAGTGAGAAGAAGCGGAGGGACTACAGGATATGGAAGGAGAGCATTCTCAGGCGCATTGACATTATGGAGAAGGAGGGTGCTGACGAGATGGAGGTGGATGGCTAGGGGCGAACGGCGCGATGAAGACGACTCTATAAAAGCTTCTTCTCTAGAGTAACGAAGCCGCCTATTAATTGAAAGACATATCACGGAGTGTCCTTAGACATTCCACGACTCAGAATGAAGCTAAATGAAGGCGACTTCTGTGTTGAAATGTGTTAAGCTCACGGCATAAAGAAGAGTAGCGATGTCACCGGTCCCCATGTCCTCCTCATGACATGTTCCACAGGACTGACAGCTCGTATACGGATACCCCGAATAAGCACCCGGCATCCTCCCCAGCATCGCCCATACGAGCAGCCGACATCCACCCTTTTCCGCAAAGAGGGGCGCAGGCCCGGACCTGCGTTGGAGCGGGCCCCCTCCACATTCAATGCTTCCCCTTTCCCTCCGTAAAAATAGCTCCCGCCTCCGCGTGCCGCAATATTATGCATGGCAACGCTTCGGGGCTGCAATTATCTTTTACAAGATGTGATTCATTTACGGTTCGCGAGTGTCAACGTGCTCTTGAAGCAGCATGTTGCCTTCGTTCGATGGCCTTCGAAATAAGCTCAAGTTAAGCTCACTTGTTGTCGCAAGTAGAATGGCTCAAGTGGGGTGAGATCTTCACCCCAAGCTGCGTCTCTTTTACAACTCTCATTTGTGTTTAATATGTACATCGTAAAACAAGCCATCTGCCCTCTCTCTCTGTTGCAACTCGCAAAACCGCCCCTGGCCAGGTCGTCATCTCATAAAACGTGTCCAAACGCGCTCCGCCAAAATGCTGAAAGGCCCCGTTTCGTTGGTCTCCCAAGCAAGTATCCTTCAGCCGGAACACCCCCGCCAACGCCGTGCCGTGATGATGCCACTCCGCCGATTAAACCGTGCTGTCAAACGCCGACGCGCAAGTCCTGGGATTAAAACAAGACACCATTCGCCGAGGGTCGTCGGTGTTGTGCCTCAATCATCTCGTTCCCAATCACTCAGACCCTTCTCCGCGGCACAGCCCTTCTCCAGGCGACGTCTTCACCACAAGTCGTCTTCTCTCATGGGCCGCGACTCGCACATCCGGCTTGAATCTGAGAGCTGATTTTATCAGCCAAAAAGCCGGCTGTCGCTTGCCATGGCAGGATCGATCACCAGCCGCCGCATTACGACCGGCCATATACCCCTCAGCCCGGCGCCAGGATGCACGTCACACGGTCCTTTCACGCCGCATTCCATTTTCGTCGGGCGCCCTTCACTCGATCAACGGCTTCTTCTGCCCTGCAACCAAACAAAGGCCGAGGGTTTTCAGCGATTCCCGGTCATTCGCAAGTACAATCGCTCGCGCTGGCAACATCGGGTTGTTGGGGTCAACATGCGACGCGTCTTTGGCGGCCTGTTCGATGGCGTCCATTTCCTCTTTGCACGCTTGCTGGTCCATGGGGCAAATGACGAGCGGTTGCCTCACGGTCAGATCCCTCGTGGAGCTTAGTTGTGCCTGTGGAGTATTGTGAGTATGCTAGCAGGAGGGGGAGGGCTGGAATTGTCCTGTCCTACCTTGACAGTCAAGAAAAATTCAATCTTGTATAATGTTGAACTTGTCGTGAAAGAGGTGACCTCGTATAGCGGAAAGGCGGGCTTCCCCCGTCGAATGATGCCGTCAGGGTCGCGCAAGTCCTTGGAGGGGAAAACCAGTCCAAGGTTCGTGGCGTATCCAGCCTCTGGCATTCTCGTATTCACGACCTGTTGGTTCTTCGCAATTTTATTGATCTTCTTCGACGGCTCGTCTCCCTCCGGATTGTACGTAATTTCCTCCTCGATGGCGACGGTGATCTTCTGAATCGTAACCTTTAACGCTTTCTTCATCCAGTCGGGGTTCGGTACTAGCTTGATATACACTGTTATTGGATCGAGCGGTCCGTAGCTCCACTTGGGGACTGATATTCCCAGCGTGACGACGCTCGCATCGCTGACTTGTCGAGATTCGGGCTTGTTGTACATGCCAAAGGTCGACAACGTATCGTATCGCTGCAGCGGTATGGGGAAAGAGTATTTGTTCTGTAATGTGTGGCCTTGTTGTACTGTCACAACAAGCTCGTAGTATGTTTCGGCCGTTCGGCTAGGTAGTTGTAAGGAGGCTGGGGGTATTCGTCGGTTCGTCTCTTCGCCGCCTCTTCCGAATGGTATGAACAGGACGAATGGCAGGTCCATTGCGATGACGCTCTCGGCCTCCTTCCCTGACTGGCACCGAAAGAGCAGAAGCTCCTTGCCGACCACGTCTGTTGTCTCTCTTCTCGGGGTACCAAGGTGTCGTTTCGCGACATTCTCGGCAGCGGGGTGTATCGTCTCTCGTCGCTGTAAACATATGCGCACTAGGGAGATGGCGACGGGCATGGAATAGCCCTGGGATGGACGGATTTCGACTTTGCCTTCGACTCGGGGCTGTATCGTGAGGCGGGGTTGTGTCAGTAAGCAGGCGCATCGGACTGGAGACACCAGCCTCCCGACGTCATCACGGAGTGGAGGAACAACGTACCAGCGTCGCAGAGATGCCAGGGTAGCCTACGAGAAAGCTGCTGTTTGGGGGACCGGAAACCCTCACAAAGGCGGCCATGCTGGCAGAATCGCCAGATTTGGATCGTGGTGTCTCTTGTCGGCGGCGGGGGAGTGGTGACGAGGGGGTTTGGCGGATGATGGAGGTGAGGTTCTCATGTGTGTCTGTGGGCGGCAGTCGTGCGTCTTAGGCGCTGCGCGCGTTGCCGCCTGGTGGTGGATGTGGGGTCGAGACAGTTGCAGTTTGTCCAAGCTGTCGGGGACGTGCAGGAACAGCAGAGCGCAAGGCCAAGCGGCGGCATTACATGGACGGATTGACAGTCGGTTTTTGGCCTGTGTTGGGCGTTCGAGGGGCGTTGTGGGGATGATCGAGGTAGCGCGCAGCCCGGTCGAGGGAATAGGCGGCGATGACGGGAATGGGCGCAAAGGTTCGGAGGTGGTTTGGAGGAGCGGCGCCCTGTCCCGCAACGGTGCGAAGATGTGGCCGGCGGACGGGTTGTTGGAGAGAGTAGCGTGTGTGAGATGCGAGAGATGGACGGGATGGCAGGCAATAGAAGAGAAGAACACCTCAGAGGAACAGCCTCCGGATCACCCAAGGTGGTGGAGGTTGTGTACCTCGAGAACGTGAGCAAGGTAGGGTAGCTCTGAGTGGTTGCAGTTCGGGCTGATGCAGCTTATTTTCGCTTCTGCATCGATCTTCCCAAGTCCATAAGCAGACGCAGCAGCTGGACTCCCATGCGGTGGCAGCAGCAGGCAAGGCTCGTCAGTCAGACAGACACAGATCAGGCCAGGGAGGCTGTCGCTGCCGGAGCTGTTGGCTGGCGGCAGGGTGTTTGTATGTGTGTAAGGTAGAGACTAGAGAGAGAGAGGGCGAGGGAGGTGGTGGATGTGGATTGCGAATGGAGTCGTGCAAGTGGCACTTGCAGCTTGGCGGTTGAGGGTGCGGTGGAGAGAGAAGAGACCTAGACCTGACCGGGAGGAGGTGGGAGGGACTTGATCCTGACCCGACGGGGGTTTGATGCGGGATACACGGTCCCTTGATCGATCTCTCTCGGGTCTCGTTCTGCCTCTTCTTGGTTCGTGACCTTTTTGTTCCTGTGGTTTTCCGTCTCTTTCTTTTCCTTTGAAGATGTGCTGGGCGCACACTCAGCTTCGAAGGGCCCAAGTACTTTGACCTTGTATTGGGATGTATCGTCTGCAATTCATGTGCGGAGGGGGAGTAGTGCTGATGTACTGCTGTGCAGGGCCGTACACACACACGACACAGCACACACTACCAACAACACCTCCCACAGCAGCAGGGCAAGGCAAAGCCCCCAACAGCGGCTGCTTGCGACTTGTGGAATCTGCTTCAGCTTCTGGTGTGTCAACTTTGGAGGTGATTGGGTTGCCTGATGCTCCGCCGCTGAGTGTGGGCTGGGCTGCCGGGGGTAGTTGGTAGCGAGAGAGAGCAAGAGGATCGGTACAAGCTAGGTACAGCCTCCTCCTCTGCTCCAAACCCAGGGCCTTCGGGAAACAAGAGCCAGAGATGCCAGAGTTGAGAGTTGAGAGTTGGGGGCCGGCGTCGTGATGGCTTGCGTGTCGGTTCGCAGTGTGTCTGAGCAGCAGGGCAGGATGGAGCTTTGCGTGTGTGTTTTGGTTTTGATTATTGACCGACAACAGACAACAGATGTCCAACGGCAGAGGGGACGTGGACATGGACGCGGACGACGACGCCAGCAACAGCAATAGCAACAGCAACATTGCCCGTCACACGCAATGATGAAGCTTGCTTTCTGGATCGTCTGTTTTGATTTGACTCGGATTAGCGGCCGTGACCGGGAAGCGGGTGCTGGGAATGGGGGTCCGAACCAGGTACCTACCTAGCAAGCGGCCAGCCTTCAAGGTTGGCAGAGGGAGTTAATTGCTGGGACGAAGGGGCCGTAGTGGTGGGCAGCTGCGGGGAAACCTCCAACAAGACGCTTGCTTCCAAGAGTCTAACGTTACCTCGGTGCACTCTTTGCGGTAGCTAGCACTTGGGACTTGGGACGTAGCAGGGCATGGACGCCGTGCACTGCACTCAGGGCAGCAACTTCCTTGGCCCGTCGCTGAAACATGGGCATTATTGGGATGGGATTTGGCCATCGCCATCCATGTGGCATCCAGTATTTCTGGTCCTGCCGATGCCATGTTTGCCCGTTTCGTTTTCTTGCCGTCGGCCATGGGCGCCGTTTTGAGCCTGGAATATTCCACACTCACGGGAGCGCCAATGCTGAATCCGCCGACCGTTGCGAAAACGAAATCGACTGACGAGTGCGAAAGTGCTTCCTTGCAATTGCAGGCTCAGCATCATGGTGCAAGTAAGTAAGCACTTGAACCACCGTGGAGATTAACAGCCGCCGTGGGTGGTGTTTCAACGTCGGTAGAGTCGATTCGCACCAGCTGCGCGCAAACGTCTCCAGCACTTGGTGCTTGGTCGCTTGAAACCAGCTGCCAACATGACTTGCGAAACAGTGATTCAACAGAGACAGAATGGCATTTGCATAGAGTCGAGTTGCTGTTGAATTTTGGTTAGCATGGTGCATGCCTCTGACAGCGGCTCACCACCCTGGCTGTCGCCTGATGATGACCGGCCACGGCGCGTGGTGCTAGCAGAAACTAGCCTGTGGTCCCTGGAAATTGGAGCCGCTGAAGCTTCGCCCTGCACAGCCCTTGTCTCTGCCCCGGACAGCAGCAGCACCAGCAGGTCGAGCAGGGGTAAGCTTTGCCAGCCTTCCTTGGGTGCCCATCGCAATTCACAGGCCTCGGGATCGAGCCGAGTCTTGCAACCTCAGACCTCAGGCGACAAGAGTCCAAGGCCCGGAGCACATGGAAGATCGGCCGGCTGTGGAGCCTTGATGCACGAGCCACCGGCACCGAAGCAGAGACCCATCAGTCACGTGCCTTATCTGATTGTACGATTCAGTGTTGGCATTAAGGTTTCTCCCTTCCGCTAGATGGACCGTGCTCCCAGTCTTAAAGCCTTGCTTAACTCCGAGTATTACCTCATCCGGTAGCCCACACCCCGTTAAGTCCAATCACGGACCCCGAGGCACCCTCCGTCAATTGCTCTTCAGAGTCTCTGATAGAGCACTCCATGACGCATACATGCACTTGCGTTAAGCTTATGTAAACCCCGGAGTCCGCCCTCGATCCGCTATCTTGCATCGGGATCTAATTGTGGCGGAACAACATGCCAGATTCCTGTGGCTGGAACGCTCCGTCTGCTGCTTGTCTCGGATATGCCCAGCAGCCAGGCGATTTCGCTTGAGGAAAGACAAAGCTATTAAGCAGACGCTCAACTTCTCATGCTGAGCTTTGTAAGCATGGCTGTTAGATGGCCTTTTCCCCCCTGGTCCACCTACATCATTGATGCTTCATGCGGTTACAGCCATAAACATTCCACCCCACGTGAGTGTTAACTCTAAATCAAAACACCAGAACGGCCCAGCCTGAGATAGTGCTTAAGTCCGTTGGCTCCATGAAACTTGCATATAGCAAAGGGGAAGACCCAGAATTGTGCGGTGAATGCGGCCGCCTCCCCCGCTTCCCGTGTCGTGTAAGTCCGTCCTCAGCTGTCGTGCTGCAACTTCCATGATATTTAAGCAGCATGAGTGCTTCCTTCCTTCGCAACATCCACAGAGCATCAACCCAAACAACTCGAATCCAAACATCCTACAATCAGATTAACATCAGATCAACATCCTTTGCCAAACCATTCCACTCATCCCACAGCAAAATGGCTCGTCTCGCACCCTACCTCGAAGAACACAAGAACATCACCGGTGCCGGTGATGCCCGTCCCACGGCCATCAAAATCGTTGAAGACCAAGGCCTCGTTGGAAAATGGGCTGGTAAGGTCGTCCTCGTCACGGGCTGCTCCCCGGGTGGCCTCGGCCCCGAGACCGCCCGCGCTATGCACGTCACGGGCGCCGATGTCTACATCACCGTCCGCGATGTCGCCAAGGGCGAGGAGGTCGCTAAGGACATCCTCTCTGACGGCAAGCCTGGAAAGGTCGAGGTCATCAAGCTGGACCTTGGCTCTCTTGAGAGCGTAAGACAGGGGGCCAAGGAGTTCCTCAGCAAGTCAGACAAGCTGAATGTGCTCATCAACAACGCCGGTATGTGACCCCTTGCATAAAATTCAGGACCTTTTTCTAACCTCGTATCCAGGCGTCATGGCTTGCCCCAAAGGCAAGACTGTAGACGGCTTTGAGACTCAGTTCGGCACCAACCACCTGGGCCATTTCCTCCTTTTCCAGCTCCTCAAGCCCGCCCTCCTTGCCGCCTCAACGCCAGAGTTCAACTCCCGCGTAGTCAGCGTCTCCTCCACCGGCCACCGCAACGGCAGAATCCAATTCGAAGATTTCAACTTTGACAGCACGGTCGAGTACCACCCCTGGGCTGCCTACGGCCAGGCCAAGCTCGCCAACATCCTTTTCGCCAACGAGCTTGACCGCCGCTACGGCTCCAAAGGTATCCACGCCCTCAGCTTGCACCCAGGCGGAATCGCCACGCCGTTGCAACGCCATTCCCCCGATCTCCAGGAACTGGTGAAGAAGCCCGAGGTACAGGCGTTCCTCAAGAGCACCTCCCAGGGCGCGGCGACGTCGGTGTGGGCCGCCGTGGCGAAGGAGTTCGAGGGCCAGGGAGGGAAGTACCTGGAGGATGTAAGTGTTGCGGAACCGGCAGCCCCGGATGTGAAGCCCAGTGATCCGGGCTACATCCCGGCGGCGTACGACCCGCCAACGGAGAAGAGGCTTTGGATTGAGAGTCTGAAGTTGGTTGGCGTTGAGGATGACGCGTAAGGGACTGGTAGATAAAAAGCCATGCACACAGAACTGGCGCAGCGTCTCTTATATACAAACAAAATTGACAGCATTCCAAAGGAATCTTACGCCCATTGTCTACCGCGTTGACTCAGTAGCGGAAGACCTCTCTCGTTGAGATCATAACGAATTTGATTTGGCAAAATTACCAGTCCATAGTACAGCATGACCCTCAAGGTTCTCATAAGATTGAGAACCAAAAAAAGACGGCAACCCAGATTCGAACACAGTCAAAACTTCAGGCCTCCAGAAGACAGTACATAATCAACTCTGAACCTGGACAAAAATGGCAAAAGTTCAGATCTGACAAGTCATCATGTCTTATGAAACTCGCTTCTCCACGAACATCCAACCCTACAGACCGGGGTCATCGGTGTAACTCATACGCAGAGGCCACATTGGACATTGGACGTACGTGTTCATGTTCGTGAAGCAACCAGTTTGCACAGGGGAAAGAGGCGTCTCTCAAGAGAGGCACACTCAGACCACTGCCCCATGTGCCCCCTGGCCGGCTAGAGGGGGGGACGGTGAGAGCATTGGAAGATTTCAGAATGATAAAGGTAGTGTGGCGAGGTCAGGCGGCCTGGGTGGGTACAAGTCTTCAAGGTCTACTACGGTGCTCATGGTTGGCGTTTGCTGTAGGTGGTGCACTATGTATGAATGAATTGTCATGAGGCCAAAAAGTGGGCAGAAATTAATGAGGATTGAAATATTGTGGTGTTGCTCAACCAGAACTACGGAAACTGAGCGATTGTTTCGACTGCTTCATGGTTGTGTCTCAGATAGAGAGACATGGAAACCAGAGTGATTTCTACCATACGTTCTTTCGCGTGGCAATCTAGAAATAACGTTCCAATAACATCCGTAGGCGCGTGTCGCTCTGAGACGAATTTGACTACATTTTGACAGAAAGTAAGCCAACATTGGAGCCACCGGCGTCATTCCGGATCGTCGCCGCTAGAACGGGCCGCCGTCCCCCTCCGCCCCCGCAACCCGCAGCGGCCCCACCAACAGAAAACGTCCCCGCCATCGCCATGACGTCCTCTCACCCTGTTAATCAAACCCCTTTACATAAACCTCTCTCTTCTCTCAAACACATCACACCATCTCATCACACTCATCACGGCGTAAGAAATCATGGCAAACACGGGCATGCACTACGCCCACTGCGGCGCCAACGACGGCTGCGAACTCGCCTTCCAGTCCTCCCTCTCGCTCACCGACGCCGGCGCCGCCTCCGCCACGCAATGCGTCCTCCTCATGCACGGCTTTAGCGGCTCTAGCGACTATTTCTACCGCAACTTCAAGCCGCTCATCGACCGCGGCCTCTGGGTCGTCGCCCCAGACATGCGCGGCCACGGCAAGTCCGACCGCACAAAGGGCGGGTACCACGTCGCCCGTCTCGCGGCCGACCTGCACAACCTCGTGGCCCACCTGCGCCGCGCCGCGCCCCAGGTCAAGATCGTGCCCGCCGGCTGCTCCATTGGCGCCGCGGTGCTCTGGACGTACGTCGAGCTGTTCGGCTGCGCCGACTTTGCGGGCTTCGTCTTTGTCGACCAGGCGCCGCTGCAGGACCGGTCGGAGTTTGACGGGTGGGACGAGAGCAAGGCGCACACGGGCTGCTACGACGAGCAGAGCATGCTGGGCGCGCAGAAGTTCTGGATCAACGAGTCCAAGGCGGCTCATGTCGATCTCGTGGACGGGTGCTTGGGGTACCGTGCCAAGCCTGATCCCAAGGACGACATCTCGGCGGAGAAGAGGAAGGAGGACGAGGACTTCTTTACTGGTATCAGCTCTCTATGCGACCAGACGTGGCTGGCGAGGTTGCTGGCTGACCACACGCGGTATGACCACCGCGAGGCGATTGAGATGATTAGCGTTCCGACGCTGGTGATGGCGGGACGGCGGTCTGGATGCTTCCCGTTGGAGGGTATGCTTGAGACGGTGAGGAGGGTGGAGAAGAACAGGCCTGGTCTGGCGAAGGAGTCTGTCTACGAGTCTGGGCACTGGCTATTTTACGAGGAGCCTGAGAAGTTCAACAAAGAGATTGGGGAGTTTGTCGACCAGTGCACCCGTTGAGTCCACTTCATGGGCTGCGGGGATCATGCACACGCAAAAGTTGCAGCACAAGTTGCAGGATGAAAAACCAAAAGTTGTATACCTGGCCAAGGTCGTTTATTATGGTGTAAATGCGACTATATGCGAATTCTATGCTAACAAAGGAAAGTCCGTAACTATGCAAATGCTCCCCTAAATTCTTCCCAAACTGTGTTGTTGCTGATTTTCCATGATCCTATGTTCTCTCTATGCAGTTGATTGTTCTCTAGCATCCATGTATGAATAATTCTATGACACAGACCTCTTAGAAGATGGGAAGAAGCTGGACATCGGCGCAAGAAGCAAGCGTTCTCTGTCCAGCCTGCTTGAAGCTCAGGACGATGGCACCGTCTCTGGGGCATGCCATCCACGCGCCTCCATCGTACTGAAGTCCAGTGGCCCCGACGGTGACACCGGTGGTGCTGGCCGAGCACTGAAGCTCCACCACGTTCGAGCTGGGCACGGTGGCGGTGCCACCGGGGGTGACGATCATGCCGGCGCCGGGGGACGAGGCGCCGTTGAAGTTGACGACGCCGACGTTCTGGTCGGTGGTGTAGAAGGTGGCGCCGCTGCCGGGGGCGGCGAAGTAGATGGGGGCCACGCAGTCGTCGTTGGGGATGTAGGTGAGCTCTTGACCCTGGACGGAGGGGTTGAGGTCCAGGCCAGTGACGTTGGCCGCGAGGCGGAAGGATGCGGTGCTCCTGGCAGGGATGCTGGCGGCCGTCGCGGCGGCGGCGAGGACGGTAGCCTTCAGGAGAGTGTACATGACCATTTTGAAGATGTTTTGTGTTTGAAAGTTATAAGGCGGTGGGTATAGCGTTGAGTTGTTGGTTATGTTGATGAGATTGATTATCAGATTGATATGTTTGTATGAGTTGATTTGATGAAGACAAAACAAACTCGTTTATCGGATCTTTCTTCATCTTATATACAACCTTCATCATTACAATCCATGAATGCAACGTTCCTTGATACTCCCAAAGTGGCAATGTAAGTCACTCGGAATCTTTGAGGCTGTTCACCTCGGATCCTTCGAACCGTCTATTTACGTGCATGTTGCTAGTCCGCAGTGTGCGCTTCGGATTTAAAGTGTCTTGAAATTTCCGCATTTAGAGTCAGGAAAGCTTAGCCGCAGCTGATCTTTGAGGCTTGGCGATGTTAGTGCTTAGGGAAATGCGAGTGCCGGCGTCCCGGTCAGACCCCCCGCTTGTTCCGGGATGGCGGGGTCATCGGCTGCCGGAGGTTTTCCTGGGGGTCAGGTTGATGGTGCCGACCCCCCGCACAGAAAAATGCGTTGTTATCAGATGCAAGTTGAGAAATTCTTGTCCGCTTTCACATTTGCAAATGCCGACGGGCTTCATCGCAGCCTCCACCACGGGTCTCACTTACCAGCGCGGCTCGATCCTTGGTTCCCAATTGATCGCCATCACACGGCCACGATGCCTCGTATTTTCAATCAAGCGGGTAAGACATTCGGCCCTACTCGACATTGACAGAAAGATGAACGGATGTTACTGACATATGGATAGCATGGTTCGGACTTTCATCACGTAATTATCCATTGGCAGTGTTGCTAACAAGCCTTGTTCTCATAATCAGCAACACCTGTCGAGTCCGAAAGATCAAGTGTAAGCCTATTAATCCTTACTATTGGCGCCCGTCTTACACGAGGCCAGGCGACGAAGCGGTTCCGATTTGCCAACGATGCGCCAAAGCAAACCGATACTGCGACCGCAGCGCGGCTCCTTCACAGTTTCATAACAAGACCCCGGAAGGTGAGGAGACGAGTGGGCTCACGAGTGGACTCACGAGTGAGTAGAACGAAGAACAAAACAATGTTACTGGCGCCTAATCAAGCATTTTAGCGCCCTCGGCCCTAGGAACGTTCCCTTCGCCAACAAAGCCACGAGACGCCCTGTTGAATCCTTCGGTCGCGCGCTACTTTCACCATTACATCACTGACATTGCGCCGTGGTATGATCTCAGTGACAGCTCTCACACATTTGCGACAAGACTGCCCGAGATCGCCTTGAAAAACTCATTGCCATTTGCTGCAATTTTGGCTCTTTCCGCGGTGCACATCAGCCAGACAACTGCGCCTTCAGCTAAGGCAGCAGCTGAGTTTTACCATGGTCATTGCATTCGTATCCTGATTGATCTGAAAGATGATGAGCATGGTGAGGTAAACACGCAAGGGCTAGCGCTTGCATCTGTTTGTCTGCTTCGTTCATATGAGATTCTCAGCGGTACGCTTGAGCCATGTGAGTCGAAATTCCTGAAGCTGACCGTGTGTAGAGGAAATCGACCCAAACAGACACCTTCGAGGCGCCTACTCACTGGCAGCGTATCGAAGTCCTCTCATTGACTATCTAGGGTCTGGGCTCAGAACTGTAGGGTTCTGGAACTACCTTCGTGAAGACATCACTTTCAGCCTGTTCCAGAGATGCCCCTTGAAGATTGATCTGGACCAGATGCCGTTGCCGACTCAACATCACACTGATCACAGCTACCTGAATACCGCATCGCTCATTCTCGGCCGCATCATCAATGCGTGCTTCTCAGGCACCATCGCAGAGCAGACCTGGGCTATTCTCTTTGACATGCTTCGCAGCTGGTCTGCAGATTTGCCGGCTCGTTTCAGACCATTTTCAAGGGAGGATCGAGGACTTGGACTTTCTCTCCCGTCGATATGGATGCTCAGAGAATGCCATGGTGGGTTGAAGCGGCTCCAATGATGAAGATCGCTAGCTGAGGTTGAATCAGCGTCTGCGCTGCATTACCGACTTGTCTGTGTGGCTATGTTGTGCGCTCAAGCAGCACCCAAAAACGTTGCCAAGCTAAGGCAGCTTCTCGAACATGACCATAAGATGGGGGACACGAAAGAAGAAGTGCTGGAAGCATGCGGTCTCGATCTCTGTGGCATCGCCTTCACGGCAAATATGCCTGCAGTCCTTGTTAATGCCTTTGGGCCAATTGCGTTCTGTGGGTGGAAAGAAAACGCCGTCGATGAAGTGAGACTAACATGACTGCTAGGTGCAAAATTCATCCGCAGTGAAGCCTCCCAGCAAGAGGTGATCCGTCGACTCATGGCGTGTAAGCGATCAATTGGGTGGCCGGTTCAACGGTTAGTCTCCGACTTACAACATGCATGGAGCGGATCGTCTCCCGGAGATTCCCAACTCAACAGCGAATTACGACTAATGTAATAAGCTATTTGCGGAGGTCGGGGAAGCATTAGTGAATCTGGGGATCAGATGGGTAAGCTCAGAGGGGAAGCATAACCCGAGTTCGGGTTTGGAGGGGTAGCGGGGTGACCAAACCCGAGCTCGGCATTGGGGTAGCCGTCACGCAACCTCTCCCTACTCCAAGTATTTAAGTGGACGAGAGAAGCATCAAATATTCTCATCATGTCTCAGTGTCCAGCATCTTGATCAAGGCAACATGAGAGCTCTCTCAAAAACTTCAAACTTGCTGCTCCGTCGGCGAGCAACTATCTCACTCAGCTGCAGCCATAGGGGCCTGGCGTCTCTTACACGCGAACCCCAACCAACTCACCCGTTTGTCATCCGCCCCTCAGAGGCTGAAGTGCGCAACAGCCTCCTGGCGCCGCGAAACCTTGAACTTGCTGTCCGGCACTTACACGCTGATGGGCTTGTTGTTGTTGAGGATGTTGTCCCTCACAAGGACTTGGACGCCCTCAATGAGAAGATGGTGAAGGATGCGAGATACCTCCAGTCCCTCGGCGAAAAGGGCCCTTTCAACTACAATTTGGGAAACTTACAACAAGACCCCCCGCCTGTGGCTGAGTACTTTTATAAGTCCATCTTCACGAGTATGGCTCTTTTTCCTCGATCATGAAGACACACTTATAAAGTCACAGACCCCATCGCAACGCAGATCACATCAAATGTTCTGGGCCCCCGTCCCAAATGGACCTTCTGCTCAGCCAACTCCGCCATGCCACCTCTTCCCGGCGCCTCACCTCAACGTCAACCCGTACACTCCGACGCCGACTTTGATCACCCCTCGCACCCATTTGCGCTGGTCACCAATATCCCACTCGTGTCCATGACTCCCGAGAATGGGTCCACAGAGCTCTGGCTCGGCACGCACACCGCTGACGTCTCATCACAGGAGGGAAAGCATGGTGAACGGGCTAGCGGAAGAATCAGAGAGGATCTTTTGGCTGAGAGACGTGGTGTGAGAGGTCCATCACAGCCTGATGTCAAGAAGGGTAGTATTGTGTTGAGAGACTTGAGGCTGTGGCATGCTGGAATGCCGAACATGAGTGATGAGGTCAGGGTGATGCTTGCTGTGATTCACTTTGCGCCGTGGTATCGTAACCCGATGAGGCTCCAGCTCGGGGAGGATGTGAAAGGCTTGTTAGCTGGACTCGAGCCTCACTTGGAGATTCCGGTTGACTGGGCGAAGAACCATGAGGTTTGGGGGTCTTACCTGCACAGAGGGTTCGGCAACAGTTACGACTTTAACCAAAAGCAGTAGCTCAATATAGGTACAAGCATCTTGAAACAATGTGAAAGCCAATCTATAACGACTAGATCAATGAAGAAAAGTCTCGGGTTCTTCCTCGCCTCCTTTCCAACGCATGTTATGGCTATATACGATTAATTCTTCCATGTATCCTATTTTGTTATGCCCAAATGCAACCCCCTTAGAATTCCCAAACTTCCGAGGACAGTCGGCTCGTTTGATTCAAATTCATGGAACTGACGCAGAGCTTCCGTGAGGCCATCAATCTGACCTTCTTTCACCTGCTGAAGCACAAACTCCCAAATATATCTCAAGTATGTCGAATGATCGTAGTCCATAGTTTCAGCCAATTCCTTGTACCTCCTACGTAATTCTTCCGGGTTCTTGGAATGTATCGAGCGAAGGTAGGTAAGGAAACGTGCAGATTCAGTCCAAGTTTGATTACCGTTTTGTCGTGTAATGAAGGGCTTTCCTCTCAAGTTCCACTCCAGATCGGGCAGGTCCGCGTTGACCTCCCAGTGATCTTCTATGAAGCATACAAGATGTCGAATATCATGCAACTCTTTCTGAAGTTCATACCAGAGCCAGGCACGGCCCTCGAGATTTCTGATGTGCTGTTGCAGCTCGTTGTATTGCTGAATCCAATGTTCTCGTGATGCTTCCCTGAGCCTTCTTAATCCTAAAGGTACGAATTCGGAGTCGGCAGCTGACATGCCGAGTCTTGCGTCAAGCTTCCAGTAGTTAATTGAAAGCATTGATATTGTTTTATTAAGATCAAAGAGGGGCTCGAAGACCGCAAAGCTGTCGAAGTCAACCAATTCCTCGAACTCAATACACCCCTCCAGGTCCATTGAACCGAATTCGGTGGCATGAACTCTCCACGGGCATTTTCTTGCCAAGGTTTTGAAATGATCGGGGAAACTTGGATTCCTTGTTGCTGTCCCTCCCAGGAGGTGAGTATTCGAAACTTTCTTTCGCAAGAAAGAACGATATTTGACGCAATGCCAGGCATCTGCAACTTTTTTGTGGTTTTCTGGGCTGCAAGCTTTTTCGTCTGCGCAGTGGTCCTGGGTGTCTGACCTTTCAGCGGGGTTCTGACTTGCATCCGTTTGGGACTTCATCATGATATTCGACACGAATCTGTCCCCCTCATGTTCATCAGATGCCGTGTTCTCGCGGGGTAACGTCATCGCTACCTGCTCTTCATGAATTTGCCCTACTCGCCGAGACTTCTTTGTGTTGATGCTTTCTAGGCGCCTTCTTTTCTTCTTTGCTTTTTGCTTTCCACTCTCGTGTGCCAGCCTCGAGTTGATGTAATAAACGAGATACTTCTTGCCCCCCCTGGTCAATTTCGCAAATCGAGAACGGCCGGTGAACTCTGAGATCTCGCTTTGTAGCGGCCATTGAACAGCCCCTGAAATCGTACACCATAGCCTCCATAGGGGATAGGTCTTCAGCAGTAAGGGGCGTGACTTCGTAGACATCTGCGAACGTTTCGTGGCGAGTAAGGCGCCCTAGTTGAAACTGACCGCCAAGGACAGCGCCAACGTAGCTTTCGTATGACACTAATATTTGTGAAGAAGAATCGGTATGAGAGGATATCGGTTCAAGCTTGTGGATGATGGAATAAAATTCATCGGCAGATGCTCTTTCCTCGATATGGAGATAGTCGAATTCATCCTCAAGATTAAATCTGGTCGAAGTCAGCATCCTCGCAGAATACCAGATCCAGAAAGAAATAGTGCCTTAATAGGTACCTTGTACACTTTTCTCGTACTAGAGATGAGCCCATCTCGATGTTTGATCTTGTGGAAGAGAGTCAGAGGTGGGACGTCAAGTTGGCGTCCTTGTTGTTCTTAGATCAGATGCCTGTCCTGATGCTGCAGGTGAGAAGTAGCATTCTTGATATGGTTCGCCCTTCGAGCTTGCATCTTGCCTGAACTTCTCTTTCCCCCTCGAGCAACAACGAACTTGTTCAGCTGTGAAAATCATGACTTCCAAGTAGAGCTACATTGCAGTACCATGGGTGGCAGGCTGGGACAGAAACTGAGCAGACACTTGAGCCCAGACTACGACTGTGCCGGTTGTTTTATTGGACTGGCCTCAAGTTTTATGCGCGATGAACACAATTTCTAGGCTGACTGGCAAGGCGCCCCTCCAATCAGTGACATAATGAGCCACAAGACCATGTGTTCCAGGGTACATGTACATAGAACCATGTGCTGGTGCATGGCCAAGCCGTCCAAGGCGGTAAACACCATGTGCGCTGGTTCACCTGCGAAGCAGGCTGAGCGGTCACACCGACATGGGGCTGAGGAGTGCCGCCTAGCCAATCCTTTCCCTTTTCTGTTTTGAGGCCAGAGGACCCGAGTAATTTTAAAACCCCGCATATGTTGCTCACTCTTTCATCTCCAAATCTTTCGGCTCATCGGCGTGCTTGGAGCTTGGGAGCCCGATTAGGGGCTCACTCGCATCACCGCAACATCAATCGGATACAATTGTATTCGACGATAACTCTCGTAGCGCCTTGGGTAAGTTCTATGTCATCTATCCATTGTTCTTCAGTATATCCTGAGTAAAACCACAGCGCACAAAACTCCTCACTAGAAGGCCCCTGCGGGATTCTGATCCCGCGTTGGTCCCATTCAGTGGGTTCAACATGGTCATCACGTAGATCGAAGTCAGCTCAACAACACTGAGGGTTGTGAGCCTCCGATCGCAGCATCTTGGAACGCGACCGAGCCTCACATCGTCCATCAACAGAGTAATGAAGACGAAGGCTGGCTGCCTCCAATCGGAGCCTACGTGCATTCTGAATGTCGCACTGATGTGCGCTTCAGTCGGTACCCGGATCCGTGGGAGCAGAAGTGTGTGGATCCAAGGGATGTCAACAAAGAGTTCGCATCTTTACTCCGGTCCGACACTGAAGTTTCCAGTTGTATCAATGCACTGTCAAGCCCCGATGGTGATGGTGATTCATCCTCCATATACCAGCAATCTCAACCCTCGAGATCGATAGAACCCGGCAGATTGTTGTCGCCCTCATTCATGTCCCCCTCCCCTGTTACTCAAGTTTCTTCCGGAAACGACCACTTCTCACCAGTCACGTCGTCCACAACGCCTCTCAGCAATCAATCGGCTGACCTTTCTTCCCTGGCCCAACTCGTTGACACCCCACCACCTATACAGAGCCCCAACAGAGACATTTCATCTCCTGGGTTCATCTGTCTTGTTTCTCCATGCCAGGGGAAGGAGTTCGTCAGTGTCCAATTACTCCGCGAACACAAGCAAAAGTCTCACCGTTACCGCTGTGAGCTTGGCTGTGATAACGTCGGGTACGAATCTCTGAGAGACCTTAGGTCCCGCCACTACGGGCCTCAACATGAAGCGGAGACTGGGACATATCGATGTGGCCGCTGTGGGCAGCGGCGCTTTCGACAAGACAATCACGCACGACATCTTGGCATACGACGGACCAAAAAGCCTTATAGGCCATGCCGTGCGCTTCCTACTGCACAAGAGTACTTTTGCGGTCGGTGCGATCACCACACATTCGACAAAGAAGAACACTTGAGACACCTACATCGGAGAGGATGCGACACTTGAAACTTTGCGGTTTCCTATCAGTCCTTGGGTGGTATTGGGGTCACTGCAGACACGGCGAGTATTTCCGATATGGCTGATTCATCTGCCTCTGTTGCAAAATGCACTGAGGCCTTTCGGCCAGTGATGATGTTATTATCATCCGTCGGAAATTGGCCATGTTCTACAGGGATCATGGAGATGCTTGGTTGACATTCTAGATTTGCAGGAAGCGGCTCCAGCCCCTGGTTGTATGAGTTTTCTGATGTTTCGTATGACTTTTTGCTTCTGCCAGTATCGGGCAAGTGGAGGACTGGAAGCTCATCTCACTCATGCTCAACACCTTTGGTTGGCTGACAGTCGGTCAGCCCCATATCGTAACGAGTTGCGACAATGGAATGTTTTCTTTGTTTTCTCCACAAGGCTCACTTCTTTTGCTAGCTGCGACGTATGTTTCAAGACTGACTTCACTTGGTTTTGAAGCTCCTTCGGCAGAACTTGCAGAGGACGTTTTTACTTTATTGCATCTTCGATGGCGTCGGTCAAGAGGAAAGTACCATGGGGGTCTCTTCGTAGGCTAACGCGTGTGCAGAACTTCTGCCTATTTGCATTTTCACGGATGAAAGGGGTTTCTATTCGGGCGACGGTCATGTTAAGTGTATGATGTAATGAATAAATTAGAGAATTGGTGCCGTGAAACGGCTTACTTTATATCCTTTTCGGTCCTATCATAAAAACCACATCCCCAAGTCGGTGAATGACCAGCTCGTGAACATTAGTAAACACCCATCTATCAAAACGTACGGGCATGCTTAAGCCCCAGTGACTTATCTGCCTCCAAATCGAAAGGCATGTCCTCTATTGGGACCCCAGCCTGAATTTGCCATATGTGGTGGGCAGAGGCCTAATTCCTTTCTGCGCACCGATTCTTACCACCCTCTCCATTCTGAGGGATTGGCATTGCCTCTTCCGATGATGAAATCCCAGGAGCTCAGGTGAAAGTCCCTAAGCTAGGAATTATGAGCCCTTGCTTTCATTGAATGAAACACAAGGTTTATTGTGAATATTACGTCTCACTTGAGGCAAGGCTAACGGCCGAAAGCGACTCATCTTCAAAGAAAATTAGATGGTCGAATTATCTGGACTTTGCCCGACGTCGAAGCCCTTTCCGCACCGCCTCAGCGTATCGCAGAAACCTTCTGTCTCAGCCATCCTTTGGCACCATCAGAAGGGCAGTGTCAACCTCAAGCTGTCGGAGTTCACCCACCATTACACCTACCAGCCACTTAAAGGTATGGCTTCCGGCCTGCATGCGCATGCCGCTCAGCTGCAACGTTCTGTATTGTGATTGGCTTGGCCTCAACTTGCGAGTTCCCCCAAAACAAAGTAGAAAATGTCTCAGCGTATCAAAACTGCACATTTTCCTAGCT